GAGGCATTTGATCTTCATTTGTCAAGGATAGTTTATTCAAAGAGTAAGCTCTCATCATGACTTCTTTACACAAAAGAGGGACATTGAAACTCTATAGGGGATGCCATCTATCTCAAACAATAGCATGCCTCTAATGTAAGAAAATTAACATAAGGAAGAAAAAGGAATAAGGAAAAAATCTCCTTCTACACAAAAGAGGGGCACTGAAATTTGATAGGGGATGTCCCTACAAAAAACACTGGAATGCCTCAACTATAAGAAAGTTAGAGGAAGAATGGAGGAAAAGAAAATGAGCATTTTTTTTCCTTTGTCCCAAGAGGGCATTTATAGGAGGAAAATGAGGGAAAACTTTTGCCTCCAAATTGTTTAATTTTTTTAAAAAACGTTTTTATAAATTTAATGAAAATTTGTGGGGCTCAAAAATTACAAATTTCGTATTTTAAAAAAATTATCAATATATATATATATATATATATATTACCGCTTCAATTAAAAAAAATCTATGTGAGCCCCACTGCAAAAAAAAAAAATACTTATAGCAGCTGGTTATATAACCAGTCACAAGAGAACCGTGCACCCCAAGGGTTGCGTCATTTCATCTTCGTCGGTGGCAGGCGGTGGCGGCCGGTTCAGCTGCCTTCACATGTCCGAGCCAGATTTTCGACCCGGACAATCCAAATCAAATGTTTATGGGGTCTCTAGAACCGTTTTCAACATTCTGAATCCAATTTTGACATTTTTGAAGCTCAACTCAGCTTTGTAATCAATTTTTGGCTATTTAAAAATTTTTGGTAAGAATTTTCTGAAATTTTTTTAGATTCAAATAGCTTGAAATTATGTAACACATATTTTCAAACTTCTAGAGCCTTGACGTCCAAAAATATGGGACAACTAATATATCATCAAAAAAATATCTTGATTGGACACGAATCTCAAGGCAAAAATCAAGTTGGAAACTTCAAAATTTGAATTCGGGATTATATGAACATCGATTTCAGCAAACTTACATTTAAACTGAACATCTCAAAAATATGAACCTGACAACACCAAATTTGACTCAATCCGAGCCCAAATAGGTCCAAATCAAAGACCCTAAGTGCATTTTATAGTCAAATCGAGCGTCTCGACGAGATGAACCCAACGAGCCCAAGATTGTCAAAATTCTTTTGTCGTTAAGACATTCAAATGCCTATTAAACAGTCATTTTCAGCTGTCCATTTAAACCACTCTCAAATTACCCTTGATCTTCCTCCTATTTACTGGTAATGCCACTCTCAGAAAATTATAAATAGACCCCTCATTTCTCATAAAAAGGCACGCCCAAAAGGGGGAGAGAGAAGGAAGCCCATGCAAGAAGAGAAGGAAGAGAGCTCTCTTGCCACCAGACTCTTCCTCGACCGCCACCGGATTTCCACCCGGCAGCCTACCAACGTTGGAGTCATGCCCGACCATCGACTGACGCCAGAGTTATGCCTGGCCACCAACTAACGCCGAAGTTCTGCCTGTCTGTTGACTTTTGTCGGACTTATACCCGACGCCAAAGTTTCGCCCGTTGTCGGACTTCTTCCCGTCACCGAACTTTCAACAGACTTCAACCCGACGTCGAAATTCCACCCGTCACTGAACTCATACCCATCATCGAAATTTCATCGGACTTCTTCTCGATGCCGAACTTCCGCCCGTCATCGGACTTCTATCCATTGTCGGACTTCCGTCGAACTTCAACCCGACGTTGAACTTCTGCCAGTTGTCGGACTTCTATGAGTTGTCGGACTTTCGCCGAACTTCTACCCGATGCAGAACTTTCGCCCATTGTCAGACTTTTGTCCATTGCCAAATTTTTTCCTGATATTGGACTCCCGTCGGTTGTTGAATTTCTATCTGACGCCCAACTTCCACTCGTCACCAGACTTCCACCAACCACCGGACTTCTAACCTCTGTTGTCAGCCTACTATGGCCCTTCTGACCTCCTTTGCCAACTACGGTTCTTTTGACCTCCGTTACCCACCTACTACAGTCCTTCCGACCTCCTTCGCCAGACAACGGTCCTTCAGACCTGCGTCGCCCACCAAGTATGATCCATCCGACCTCCGTCTCCAAACAATGTTATTTCCAACCTCTGTCACCCATCGACTATAGTCCTTCCGACCAAACGAACATATCAACAATGATTCTTCCTATTTACACCATGTAACACACTCTATATGGTGTAAATTTGTTACATCAAGCCATGGCCTTCCCTCGATTAAAAGCCTTATTTGTAATCAACTGCAAATACTAGTGGATTCATTCAAACTGGGCTAGGCCCCATGGTTTTCTCCTTTTAAGGGTTTTCCACGTAAAAATCTTAGTGTCTCTTATGAATGTTGTACTCTCTTTTTATTTGATTGCGTGTTGGATCTTCGTACAATGCTAAGATTTTTAAACGATATATATCTCTATCATCGTGAATATTCCAGGATGCAACAACTATAAAAAAGAATGATTTCAAAAACCCTATTTTTATATTTGAACCTATTGTAGAATAATTTGTCTACCTGTCGAGATAGTGTTTTATTCTCAATGTCGTATTTGATCATAAAAATAGGAGCACCTCAAATCTACATGGGCATTCAAATTTTATTTTCCCACAATAGCTTTTTAACTGCAGGTAAGACATTAACTTAAAAGGGACTCTTACCAATAACACATATCACAAGCATAAGGACCATACAAGTGAAACATCACCAATGTCCTCTTTGGAAAAGTAGATCATATCTTTAATAGTTGAAAAACAACACAACATAAGCTTATTAGTGACGAAAATTAAAACAATATATGTTATAAGGTGGCTAGTCTTTTGAAAATCAATATGGGTTATACACCTTTTGTTAGAGTGAATTTTTCAAAACTGATGGCATTAATATCCAAGAATTGTGAGGTATAAGGAACCTACAAAATTAAAAGAAAATCTCCACCGATAAGGTTTTCTTGTAAATCACGAGGTTTAAAAATTCCAAACTAAAATATTATATATTCAATATTAAAAATAGGACATACAGACATGTCAAAAGATAATTCAAAGAGATAAATATTTAATCCAAATTTCTTAAAAACTAGACAGTGGTCTAGTAAGTGTTGACCATGTATCATCAAAGGATCAACTTGCAGATTTCCTTACTAAAGGATTGGACAGTCTTGTCTTCCTCCAAATGATCGACAAGCTGGGAATGATGGATCCATATTTCCCAGCTTAAGGGGGAGTGTTAAATCTCAACCTTACGATCCCAAAGATATCCACGGCTGTGAACAGTCGTGGGATTGGCTACACTGAGCGCAGTACGAGTAAGCCTTGCGGGCCACGTGGGCGGGAACTCCTGCGGGAATTAATATTTTAAATCATGTTTTTGTTATGCCAACGGAGTTTTTTCCACCGGAAAAATGTTCCGTTGGAATTATTCTGCCGGAAAAATTTTTCGTCGTGTTTTCTTCAACGGAAAAGTTTTCCGACACTCGATTTACCGTCGAAAATATTTTCGCTAGAAATATGCTGGAAAATTTCAAAATCCGTCGGAAACTTCATAATTTTCAGCCGAAAAATCCACCGGAAAAACGATATTTTCCTGTAGTGAGTAAATCAGTAAATCATAATAGTAAAGTTGTAGCCATGTTTATATCCCAATAATTATTTTGCTCCTCATGAGGCAACATAGATTATTTTTACTATGTTTTGAGAGAGTGTCATTTATATTAGAGGTTGATTGGAATATTATTCTGCAATAATGGTGTTCTATGCGTTTCTCTTGCTTATAAGAAGAAAAAAGAAACGAAAAGGCCCTGAAAAGGAGATGATGTCGTGTAAGAAAAACTAATTTTTGCCTCAGGTTCATTCGAATAAAGAAAGATTGAGAATATGTTTGATTTTTTTTGGCTGTTTAAAGACATAAGATTCACATCAAAGTTTTGATTTGATCAAATAAATTTTTTTACAATCCTAATAAAGGTTTACTATTTTAAACCATTAAAAGAGAAACTAAATGAGTGAAATTGCTTGAAGTTTTCTCTATCAAGTCTTCTTTAAGTTCATCCAGCAAAGCCTAATTGAATTTTATGTGAACTATAAGTTTTCAATAATTTCATTTCATGGGAAGCCTTATTTGGTTGTTTGCATGGGAAAAACGAAGTTTTAATAAAAAAATATATTTTCATTTATTTTATTTGTGAAATTAAAATTACTACATTTAAAATATTTCTTTGCATATTTTAGCTCAATATTAATCTCTAACTCCACACAAATTAAATGATGAGTCCAACAAACTTCCTCTTTTTTAAAGTATATTTTTAGACTTCAAATAACCAATTAGATCCTCAATTAAAATCAAATGAAAAAAAAAAATCCCCGTATTTGTTATTGAAATATTCCAAAACCATTTCCATTCGCTTCCACCCAAACCAAATAAAACCAAAATTTCCCGATTTCTTAAACGATCCAATCGCCCTTAAAAACCACCCTCTCTATTTTCTCTCCTCATCCTTCACCTTTCCGTGCTAAGAGAAGTATATCAAGGAAATATTAACAATATAGGAGATCTATAACCGCCAGATATGCAAATACGCAGAGCCAGATAAACTAATACGCGCAGCCAAAGCTCCCGTCCCTAAATGCGGAATTGCTAATGGCTGGCCACTCTTGTCGGCCCGATCCTTCTTTTCCTCTGTTTATTCCTACTGGATTCCATAACAATCCTATATAGCTCTATTCCCTAGCCGAAGCCCTAAAAACATACCCACCCCACCAACCCAATGTTCCTCACATTCTAGCGATCTTCGAGGTTCGCTCGGCCAGCGGTCGGGTCTGGTTATCCTGCTTTGCTTCCAAAACCTTTTTTTCCAGACTCTCTCCGACCATCTGTAATCTTTTTTGCTTTCCGATTTAAAAAAAAAAAAAGTAACACGATTACAGAAGAAAACACGCACTGTAAACAGAAGAAAAAAAGCGAGAAGAAGAAGAAGAAGAAGAATGGAGTGCGTACAGTTCAGGCCTTGCTTCCTCATCCTCTTCTCGGCCCTCATCCTCACCGCGCCCGTTCGCTCGCACATTGGTGATTTCGACGATTTCTGGCAGAAGCGGGCTGAGGCTTCCCGCGCTAAGGTCCGTGAGTCTTATAACCCCGACCCACATGGGGCCACCAACGACTTCAATAGAGATGTGTTCATGTAAGGCGCATTCTTATTCCATTTGTCAATTTTATAAAATGGCAAGAAAATTTGAAGCATCTTACCAATGCATTATATAAGCGCAAGATAAATATTTAAAATAAGAAGATATTTTATTGAAATTTTAATATAATTATATAAATTTTCAAATAATTACTTTGCATACTCAAATTAATTCTCTATTCGCGTGAGTAAAATTTAACCATTATGAAACGTTGATAAAAAAATCATTAATTTAAATTATATATCAATCCTTTTCTAACAAAAATAATATATTAAAAATCCCTAATGCAGTTAATTTTAATGAAGAGTAATCTTCTGTTTAAATAGCACTATTATCCCAAAAATTACACTCATAGTTTTCCTCTAAGTTTTATCTCTAGGGTTGTTTGATTTGAAATAAATGGATGCAAAGACAACATATTTCAAAATTTTGATAATTAATTTCAAGTAAAAAAAAATGGAGCATATTTTTAATGTATCTAAAATTCATCTTTTTTCTATTTTGACATATTTAAAAATAATTAGATTTGTCATATTTGTAAATTGCAATTGTTACCGCCAGCAAACACTAGTTATCATAGGACGCCACATTGATCACCACCCGCTACACACTACCAAAAATATGCCTATTGCAGTACAATTTTTGGCATATCCTAGTGGTTATAAACACCACAACTTTCTTTGTAGTGGTTTTAAAACTATTGCACTACCGCTGTAATTGTAATGCGCTGCAACGACACTCCACAGCGGTTTAATTACCAACAGGATAGTTCTGGTGAAGTGGTAAATTTATGCAACTTAAGATCATGTTTATTGGATAGTAAGTACTATATAGGTATAAAACCCCCTTCGAATTTCATTTTTTTTAGTGCTGTTAGTCCGTACAAACTGACCTTAGTACGAGATGAACTGAAAAATTTGTGAAAATCTGTATGGTTCGTCTGGACAAACCTGGGTTCATCGGGACGAACTAAATAATTTTTTCCCGAGAGCATCGTCCAGGGACGAAACAAATTGGAATTAATTTTCGTCTGTACGATCCGTGTCCAGAGGAGTTCGTCCCGGGACAATCTGGGCATCGTCCTGGACGATCCTGCTTGATAAATAGAGGATTTGAGATATTTTGAAGAGAGAGAAAAAGCAGGAGAGAGAAAGAGAAGGAAAGAAAGGAAAAAGACTTGGTTTCGGAGGCCGCGGAGCTCTTTTCGTTTGATGACGCAGTTGGAAGATTTGTCTGTCTCGCAGTAAAGAATCCGAATCCTATTTCTTATTTCAAAGATTTCGTGTTTTTGTATTTTTCTGCTCAGTTTTGTGTTTCCGTTACCGAAAAATGTGCATATCTTTGAATTGATGAAATATTTACCGCTTAACTTTTGGTATGCTATTGAAATGATATTTTTGCACGATTTAAGTATTTTATGAAATGTTTTCACCGTATATTTTGAGTTATGTGCGATTTTTATTGAATAGAAAATTATCTGAATATTGGAAATTATTGTTTCAGTACAAGTAAAGCTTTGAAACGTTGTTTTATACGATTTCTGGTAATTTGGTAATTTTCTGAAACTGCGTGTTTTGTCTTTGTTTGGGATTTCTGTTGACTGTACGATATTTTAAGGATTTCCTTCAATTGAGTTAAATTGTGTTTGTTGATTTCATTGTCTTAATAAGATGTATATGAATGTAGACATATGATTGAATCTACTACTATTATATTACTAAAAGACAAGTAAAGAATGGTTGAATCGTTGGTTGAAGATTGACCTGTACAAGATGGTGGGCCGACGGTCTTTCCTTTAATAAAAGGGTTTGGTGTTATCCTCTATTGATCACGTGATATAACGTTTGAGAGTTATAAGGAGATTATTGCGCCGACGGGCAGGGGTGACGACTCTATTATTGAGCCAACGAATTACTAACATCGATACTAACCTTGAAAAACGTCTTAATAGCCAGTGATTGTACTTGTTAAGTAAGACTATTATACTGGAATGCATGTGTAGAGTATTAATCTTATGATTACCTTATGAATTTACTAATATTGAATTAATCTATTATTATTGATTGATTTATTGATTACCGTACGAATTTATTGATATCGACGGATTTATTGATATTGAATTGATTCATTGATACTATGGATACCGATATTATTGATTCATCGATACTATAGATTTATTGATACCATTGATTCATTGATACACTGAATATTGATCTGCTACATATGATACACTGACCACGTGATATAGAATATGTTTTTACTGTATTAATTTGATTTCAACTATTTTTCACGATGCTTTATTGATTTGATTGTTTTATGTGATTCCATACTGATTGATATTATTGACCGATATTGATTTCTTTATTTAACAATTTGATTTATTTTATTGCTATGATTGATACGATATTGATTTGAAGGATATATTAGATACGACGATTTCTTTAATGAATTGTATGTTTAGCAGCATTGTTACTGCTACTATATGGATTTACTGCTACTGATGCATTCACTGATATTGAATGGATTTATCGCTATTGTACGGATTTACTATTACTGCAGGATTTCATTATTATAGCATTATTGTTCATGACATTGGATTGTTACTGATACTGATTCATGCACTGCCATTACTGATTTGCTGTACTTATATTATGCATGTGACGCACTGAGCAAGTCATAAGGAACAACTGAAGTGACATGTGCTTCACTAAACACGTGATATACTGATATTATTGACAAGATAATTTATTGACTGATTTGATTGATATTAATGATATGAGGATTTCTTTAATGATATAGATACGATGATTACTATAGATATTTGACACACGTGCTGATTCATTGAGCTTTACGAACTTTTATACTATTTATTAATTCTTTTACTGTCGATTGAGGATTTTACTGTTTCTATATTGATATTATTTACGCATTGACTATTGTTACTGTACTGATTACAGTTTATACATTGATTTTCGTTACTGCATTGATTACTGCTTTTGTACTGATTTTCATATCTGCATCGATTCAATGATCATGTGAAAGTGATTAGTATTGATTCGACTATTTGACATGCATATTGCTCTCATACCGTGCTTTGATTTCAGTTGTAGTTTTTGGTGACCTGTTGGGCTTTCTGAAGCTCATTATACGTGGTTAATATTTTCAGGTCAGGGCAAGGGAGCAGGAAAGTGAGGTTGATCAAGACTGTCAATAAATCCTTTCACTATAGATGCCTGGGACGTCACATTAGGATAGAGAACACTTTTAAAAAAATAATGAACATACATCAAACAAAGAAATAAAGATCAAGATATATCTTGTTTAGTGGACAAAATACAACATTAAACTACAAAGATACGGCTAGGTTATAACATAAGTTGAATTTCTTAACATTAAACTACAAAGAAACGTCTAGGTTTGGCCAGTGATGGACATCAAAACCAAGAAATAGTTTATATGTAAACTTTTTAAATGAAACCTTAGGTTATAAGTGGACAAACCGACCGGCCAAGGAGATCAAGAAGAGCTGAAGACAACCAAACAGACTTGAGGCTTTGATGTAGTCGACCTACTCTCTCACCAATCGAATGCTAATATCTATGTACGAAGAAGAAAAGAGCAGGACGAGGGAATCACACTCTCTTGCAAAGAAGGTGAAAATAAAAAATGCGAGCAAAGGTGATCGAGAAGATAGGGTCCGATCGAGTTTAAGACCTAGGGTTATGTTTCGCTATCTCGACGGTTAAAACAGTTTGTATTGCACCAGTTAAAACTGCTGCAAATTGTAGCAGTTATAACCGATTAAAAAAACTCTTTTTAACAGTAGTTTTCAAACCGCTCCTAACAAGTGTTGTGAAAACACAACTTTTTTAGTAGTGCCATCACTATAGCCCACCACTACCACCTAGAACATTCGCCGCTCGCTACTAGCCATCGTTATTATTATCCGTTACACTACCTTCAATTTACTTCAAGCCAAGTAAATATTAAAAGTAATAATAATAATAATAATAATAATAATAATAATAATAATAATAATAATAATAATAATAATAATAATAATAATAATAATAATAATAATAATAATAATAATAATAATAATAATAATAATAATAATAATAATAATAATAATAATAATAATAATAATAATAATAATAATAATAATAATAATAATAATAATAATAATAATAATAATAATAATAATAATAATAATAATAATAATAATAATAATAATAATAATAATAATAATAATAATATTGGTGTGAGTGTGTGTGAGTTTGTATTAGTTGGCCTAAATGCCCCGAAAAATTATAATCACCCACATCATGGTCTATTTGGTTGCATCGTTAGCAGACATCACTAACCGATTATTATTTTTTAAATAATTCCCTTAAAATAAATATGAATGGAATATAACTCCTATGTTGGAGAAGTCTGTTAAAAGATGTTATACATTGGAGTTATGTCTTTAGAAATTCAATTGCTCATTCTTTCCTTGAAATAAAAAAATATAAAATATTAAATAAAATCACTTTAACTTATAATATACTAAGATGTTTAATCTTTTTATATAATCTTAATTTTGAAATTTATTAGGCAACTTATTTTTTTAAAGTTTTCATTATTTAAAATTATTATAAATTTGATTTTAATTTTTATGAGTATTCTAATTCTGTTATAAAAGTATTAATCTAAACAAAAGTTCAAACTTCCATTATATTATATAATAAATGCAATATTACCACTTTATAAATGCATCATTTAATATTCTCTGCATGTGACAAGATCTTCTTTGTAACGAACAAAAATAGTCTAATACAAAAGTTTTAACTTACATCTACATTACCACTTCATTATTTTATATAATTTTGGTTACAGCTTCTCATGCTCCCATGCAAGTGACAAGTTCTTATTAATGCAAACCATGGCTGCCCTGAATTGTGTGCCCGTGCCCATCGATTCATATTTCATAAACCTTGATAAGCTTATCTTTCTTAATAGTTAGTGATAAATAGTAAAATGCATGACTCCAATATGTGACATTAGAAATGAAATCATCTTTATCAACCAATGGGTCATCAGTCATTTCAAATTTACTTCACTCAAATACGATTAGCATTAATACTTCAAGATGAGAGAATACTGACATTATCTGCATATACATCTTGTATATAGGGCATTGGAGAAGAACAATACACACAGATCCCTAATATCAAGGAAGCGAAGTCCTACAGATCCATGCTGGGCCACAAACCCCATTGATCGATGCTGGCGCTGCCAATCTAATTGGGCCAGTTACCGCAAGAGATTGGCCTTTTGTGCTAAGGGCTTTGGCCGCAATGCCATAGGTGGTGTCAAAGGTCGCTTCTATGTAGTGACAGATGCGTCCGACAATGATCTTGTCAACCCCAAGCCGGGGACACTTCGCCATGCCGTTATTCAGGTCATAATAATTTAAATTTAATAATAATAGTAAATTATACTCAAATTTCATGATACATTTTTTTTATCAAATTGGTGCTAATTTTATTAATGCACAATTTATTTTATGGTTCACATGTTATTCTTTAATAACTTAATTTAAAGATAAATATAATTAAATTACTAGACTTTATAAGTATGATACAATGAATTGAACATCTTTTATAATTAAGTTGTTTTAGTCTTTTAAATTTAAGAATAATTTTGGACCACTTTTTCATTACTTTGATTTTTAGATTATTGTCACCCTATCATTTGGCTATTGATTATTTACTAATTTTTTGAAATTTTTATGAAGAGAAGTTGATTTTTGTTTTAATATTAGAATGTGAAAGCTGTAAAAAAAGTTATGACTTTAATGAAAAAAATATATTTAAAATATCTATAGTAGTTTAAAAAAAATTATTTTTCATAGAAAAACTTTAAAGCAACTTTTATAAAAGCTGTGGCAGGCTCAAATAGACTCATAGGATTCGCTTAGGACAAGTGAAGCTTTTAATAAATGTAATGCTAGTTATTATATGAGAAATAAAATTTTCAAAACTACTATAAATATTACATATACATTTAGAAAATGTATAGATGTAATATATTAGCAAATTTGATTGCAAGAAATAGCTTATCACTACATAAATTTCTTAAAAGTCTAAGAAAGTAGTAGACGTAAAAATACGGCTTTGCTCGAAAAAGCAAAAAAAATTGATAAAGTTGTCCCATATAGATCGATAATTATATAATATAAAGGATTAATAAATCAATGATATATATATATATATAATAAAATTAGCCTTACTTTAAAATTAAGCGTATATGATCCTAAATTTTTGTTTTTGTCTTAATTTAATCCCCTCTCACTAAAAGCTTAATTAGGTTCACAACTTTCGCATGATATATACTTAGGCTGAGCCATTGTGGATAGTGTTCGCCCGTGACATGGTGATCCGCCTCAACGAGGAGCTAATAGTAAATAGCTACAAAACCATCGACGGTCGTGGCGCCAACATCCACATCGCCTATGGCGCCCAAATCACCATCCAATTCGTCCACCACATCATCATCCACAACCTCCACATCCACCATCTCAGCCCTGGCAACGGCGGCATGATCCGCGACTCCCCTTCACATTATGGCATTCGCACTCGCAGCGATGGTGATGGCATCTCCATCTACGGTGCCTCCAACATATGGATTGACCACATATCCATGTCCAACTGTGCTGATGGCCTAATAGACGCCATCATGGGATCCACCGCCATCACCATTTCCAATTGTCACATGACAAATCATGACGATGTAATGCTCTTTGGCGCCAGCGACTCCTTCGCCGGGGATGCCCTTATGCAGGTAAATTTAAGATCCCTCAAAATTCTTAAGTATATTTTAGCATTCACAAATTTTTTGGCTTCCTCACCGCAGGTAACGGTTGCCTTCAACCACTTCGGGCGTGGACTCGTGCAACGGATGCCGCGTTGCCGGTGGGGCTTTGTCCATGTCGTCAACAATGACTACACACATTGGCAAATGTACGCCGTCGGGGGAAGCCAGCATCCCACTGTTATCAGTCAGGGGAATCGATACATTGCTCCGCCGGATATCAACGCCAAGCAGGTGACGAAAAGGGATTATGCACCGGAGGCTATCTGGAGCCAGTGGACGTGGAAGTCGCAGGGTGATCTGATGATAAATGGAGCGTTCTTCGTTGAGTCAGGGCAACGATTTATTAGCAGATACACGAGGCATGATATGATGAGGGCCAAGCCAGGGACGTTCGTAACCAGGCTCACACGCTACTCTGGGACCCTTAACTGCAAGATCGGATTGCCTTGCTAATCCATGCATCCATCCATTGGCTTTTCTTTAGTTCTATTTTCTTTAGCTTTTTGGTTTCTACATTTGAAGATGACCGATTGATTGACGTTTCAGCCGGAAGGCATTTGTTTTTGTTTTTGTTTTTGTTTTTTGTTTTTGTTTGTTTAGAACGATCTACTCATATCCATTCGTTCACATTGTGTATTGCAAACAAAATTGTATTAATATCGTGATACATTTTGTATTAAAATAAGATGCTAAATAATATAAGGTGAAAAATATTTAAAATTAGAAGGTATTAAAAATAATAATAGTTTTTTTTTTATTAACAACAACAACAATAACAAGCATTTGTCCCATTAAATGGGGTTGATTACATGCATGAAATTTTTTTCTTTATTGTGTCATATTAAGAGTTAGATTCTCATTTATATCTAATAAAAAAAAGTCATTTTTAATGCTTTCTAACTATGCTTTTTAGGTCTTCCTCTATCTTTCTTAGCAAAGGCCAGATCCAATACATTTACTCTCCTAAAAGAGTCATAAGAATGCCAACATTTTATGTGATCAAACCATCTAAGGTGACTCTCTCTAATCTTATTAGCCATTGGAGCTACTCGATCCTTTTCATGCATATACTTAACTTCATGTTCCATCTCTAAGTGTAAAGCTACTCATTCGCTTGAGCATCCTTATCTCTATAACACTTAATTTGATGCCTCATTTTATTGGTCAATATTCTGCGCCATAAAACATTCTATGTCTCACTACCATCTAAAAAAAATTCCCTTAAAGTTGAGGGGTATTTTTTTCACACACAACTTGCTCGATGTATTCCTCCACTTCAACCACCCAATTTAAATTCTATTAATAATATCCTAATTTGTTTTACCATTTATTTTAATATTATACCTAAGATATCAAAAACATGCACTCTTTTTAATGACTTGATCACCTAATGTAAAAATCCCGCTACTTTAGACTTTAAGATTAACCTCCATAATTCAAGTTTCTCATAAACTCCCTCTCTATTCTTATTAACAAAAAAAATATCATCAGCAAAAACATACACAAAAGTACATCTTATTGCAAGTGTCTAGTATGAATATTTATGACTAAAGAAAAAAAAAATGGGCTTAAAGTTGATCCTTAATGTAATCCAACTAAAATAGAAAAAATACTTGGTAAAAACATCTTGTGTTTGAACAATAATAACAACTTCTTTATCCATATCCTTAATGACTTGAATATAAGAATTATTAACTCTTTTCTTTTCTAGAACTCTCCGAAGAACTTTTCCTGAAATTGTATCATATACTTTCTCTAAATTGGTAAATATCATATATACATCCTCCTTACCCTCTATATACTTTTCCATCAACCCTCTCAACAAATGTATAGTGTGGACCTCCGAAAGGGATCCGCTACAGAGTGTAGAGGGTATACGACCGCACCACCCCGAGGGATAGAAATGATCGCAGGCCTTCGCGCTCTTCGCAAGCAGCCAATAGAAGGGCATATTAGATCATACATACGATTAACCATTGAGAATAGTGGCTCTCGCCAATGCACCCCGATGGGAAATAGTATGCTTAACCTGATCGAAACACCGAGTTTCTCCCACCCTATACATTAGTCCAAGTGGGGTTTATTTAATGGTGGAGTTCCGTTTCCCACGAGCGTAAGACTCCGTGGTTAATTACATCTCAGGTCGGAGCCTGAGAATACTCTCGATTAAGGATCCAACATTATTCCTTCCAGAAAAGGGATTATCACAAAGGGAAGAATAAGAAATCCTACTCAAAGGGAAAAAAAGGTTCAAGTGAGCTCAGTCAACACACATGGCTCACAATAACATCTGGAGGGACTAAGGCACTAAGAAGAAGGTGGATATCGAAAAGGAAACAAATCACTCAAAGCATGCAAAGGGAAAAGATGTATGTGGCATCATCTACGTGATGCAAATAAGCAAGATTTATAGTCCATAAAGAAAAAGGAACTTACCCACCAATGAGACATACTATGAGACACCGAACGTAGTAGCCATGAATCCTAAATCTAAGATTGGTTTATCATTCCACACCCAATACTAACACCTGTGTCTTAGCTAATACATCTGGGCTTATATCTTGTAGAGACCATTTTTTGGTCCCAGGTTTGTCCGTACGAAGTTCAATCGTCCGGGACAATCGGTACAGGTTGTGCAGGAAAACAGTTATGGCTGTATGGTTTGTCTGGACGAAAGTAGGATCGTCTGGACAAAATTCTTACCGAGAGCAAATCGTACGGGACGATAATTAATTTCGTCTAGACGAAATCTGTCTAGAGCCCAAGTCGTCCGTGACGATAATTAATTTCGTTTGGACGAAATTCGTCTAGAGCCTAGATCGTCCGGGACGAAGTTGCGATCGTCCAGTACGATCATTCTTGATATATAAGGAAATGAGATATTTTTGGAAAAGAAAGGACGTATAGGAGAGAGAAAATTGAAGGAAAAGAAGGAAAAGAGGATTTTTGAGTGACTCCGGTCTGTTTTCATTCGTTGTGGTAGTTAGAGAAGTTGACCGACTCGAGGTAAGGCACATTCCGCCTTTCTCAATTTTCAGAAATGAGATTTTTGACGCATTTTCTGTTACGGATTTTGTTTCCGTTAGCGAATTTCTGGTATTATTTTCTCCTGACAAAGGTTTTACCGCGTAACTTTTGGTATGTCTTTGAGATGATAATTATGCACGTTTTGAGTATTTTCTGGAAGATTTGTATCTGACATTTTGAATTCTGCGGTGTTTTAATTGAACTGCAAATTATCAGGATGTTGAAAAATATTTTGTCAGTACAATGAAAGTCTTATAATGTTGTTGTGAATGTTCTGTGGTAATTTGGTAAATTTCTGGATCTGTGAATTTTGTGTAAATTCCGTATACTGCCGTTATGCCGCTGAGTTTTCGTACGATTTCTGAAATTCTGAAAAGAGATGATTTGAATGCTATCAGAAGGGAGTTATAAGAGGCCGAAATCCTTTGTGATTCCGTTGTCTGGGTCCAAGAAGGGAGACATAAGGGGAAGTTCTTAAATCTGAAATTCTGTATATATGTTCTGTTCTGGTGCTATAAGTACAAAAAGGAGCTATAAGGGGAAGTTTTGGTGCTATATGCACAAAAGAGAGTCATAAGGGGAAGAGGGGAAGTTCCGACATCTGGAAGGAAGTTCTGTTCTGACATTATCTGTTCTGTAAAGCTGTAATGTGATTTTATCTGATTTCTGTATGACTCTGATTATTCCGTATGATTTTGTCTGCTCTGTGACATGAAAGCTTTATGATATCCGATTTGATATGATTTCAGTTTCCATATTCGATGTCTGATTTCTGATTGAGCTATTATCTATTCTGTTTGTTATACGATTTCTGTACGATTGTTCGATTTCTGTACGGATACTTTTTTGATGTGATTTCTGATGTGAGTTTCTGATGATTTTGATTGGTGATTGATGTCTTGTTGAGCTGTTAGCTCATCCTTATTTTCTGTGTGGTTTTCAGGTTCTAGGAAAGGGAAGGAGGTCTTGGACTAGACTTTCTAAGTGTGATCTGTGATTAGGTACTTGATACTTTTGATTTTTGTACAGTCATGTCTTTTCTGTTCTGTTCTGTTCTTTCTGTCTGAAGCCATACACTGTATCTGTATATGATTATTTTGATGAAAGAAAAGATAGATGAACTGCGCTGTGTTTGGATATTTATAGTAGCTCTGTATTTTTCTGTCTGTGTTATATTTGGAAGAAAGTTATGAAGCAAATTCCAAAGCCAAATCCTGGATTTGTTAGTTGTGTCGCGGCCTGATGCGAGCGGGATCCGTCCCGGTCGGGTTGGGTCGTGACATATCTTACCTGAAAAGGAATGCTAGTTAACCACCTAAGCGCGTAAAATCCATACTATCCAGTCTTTATGAAAGATGGGTAGGTTGGCTGAGTGTTTTGAAAGTAAGGCTCACTTCTAGAGAGTTTCATAATTGGTCTTTAACTTATAAATGTTGAATGCTCCTAGAGCTAATGCAATTAAAATTTTGATTTAGTTGATTTATAATAATATACATACTACTTAAAAGGTTTCCAAATCATGAATGCTTGAGATTTAAAAAGGCTTATAGGAAATAATTTTTAAAAATGACTAGACTTCCCTAGGTCCGACACCTCACCCTCATAGGCGAGGAAGTGTCTTATAGAAGCAGAGAGAAACTTGCAATAATATGCATGCGTCCCTAGAAAATTTTAGCTATTCCCTATAACATTATGTTTCTATATTATTTAATCCTTAAATTATTAATTTTTAATTACGAGTTAAAAAATTTTCGTCCTTAAAGAGCCTAGTAAAATCAGGCGAAGCACATGCAAGAAAGAAACCTAAGAAAAATAAGCAAGTTCTATTACGCAATCAATATAAACACATCAATATAAATCTATAGAGTAAAGTAAAGAAAAAGGTTCATAACAAGTATCGTATAAGTACAACCTAGGATATGCAGAAAAATAATAGTGGTCAGGCCCCATCGACAATAATCTGGATTCTAATCCTACTAAATGATGTAAGTCTTAAAAGCAAGATATTTAATCTTCAAGTCTTCATCTTTAAGTGGATCGTCCTCCTCCGGATCATCTTCCTTTGGATCATCTTCCTTTGGATCATCTTCCTCTGACTCATCTCCTTCGGGCTCCATATGATTCGTCCTCTAGAAGGATACCCAAATAACTAAGAAATTTTCTATCAAGAGCCTTTTTTTCTCTTTGGATACCGTGTGTTTGAAATGTCCACTTTTGAAGACTTTTAAAACTCTATAATTTATAAATTACATTACATTTGAAAAAAAAAATAGACTCTCCTGCATGGTTATCCTAATAAAGAAAAGAATCTCAAGCAGTTTATATATCACATATCAAGCAGTTAATATTCATGCAGAAAGGGTAAACAAGTTTTAGAGGGTAGGGGGGGGGCTAAGCAGTCTTTGGAGCATTTACAGAAATATTGT